ATTTAGCCCAGGCTGACCTTGCACTTACAGCAATCCTGTCTGTCTCTAGACTGCTGGGATTACAGGTCACACCACTACATCTGACCATCATGGACATCTTTTAATAACCAGCTTTACCTCAGCTTTTTAAAAAAATATTTTATTATTTTTATTTTATGTGTATGAGTGTATTGCCTGCATGTATATGAGTTACCTCAGCTTTTTAATACCTGTTTTGAGTCTTCCATTCATTCTCTCATTCCTTCAGGAGCTCTTTATTAGATACTTACTCTGTGTCAAGCACAGTCTTTGGTATTAATTAGCACTGATGAACAGAAAAGACAGATGTCATTCTGTCAGGAAACAGAACTAATGGGGAAACAGATAATAAGTAAGCCAAAATTTAAGTTCTATTTTGTGCTAAGTATGGGAGAGGAAACATAGCCAAATGAGGCACTTGGAAGGACTGAGAAATGGGGGCTAGTCAGGAGGGTGAACAGGGGTGTTTTATGGGGAGGAAGAAGTATGGAGTATGAAAGTCCCAGGGGACAAAGACCCTGGTGTCTCTCAGAAACTGCAGATACTAGCCACAAAGCAGAAAGAGCAAGATGGGGTCAGAGATTTTGACAGTACCCACATCGTGGTTAAAGTTGGGTTTTATTTTCATTGCATAGCAGAGGCTGCTGGGGTGTGTAAGCATGAGAGGTCGGTGGCACAGTCTCATCCTCCTTCATTGCATCAGGTTTACAATCATATAAACCAACTCTAGGGCCGGGTATAGTGGCACACTATAGTTCCAGCACTTGGGAGGCAGAGGCAGGCAGATCTCTGTGAGTTCAAGGCCAGCCTAGTCTATATAATAAGTTCCAGACCAGCTAAACAAGCTTTACAGATACAGGATCTTACCTGTTGTATTCACTGAATGATCCCCTTCACTCAACCTGATGAAAAGTAGGTTTCCAGTAAATAGTGGTTTTAACAAATGCTGCAAAGAATCCTTGAATAGCTCAGTAAATTATTCTCATTACTTCATGGAAATATATTTCTAGATTAAATTTATATATTTAAAAGTCTGGCTTTCTAAGTAAATTGCCTTCCAAAATGGTTACCTTCATTTGTACATGGAAAAAAATGTATATGTATGTATGTATGTCTATGAGAGTATGTGTACCACATGTGTGCAGGTGCCTCTGAAGGCCAGAAGAGGACATTAGATCCCTTGGAACTAGAGCTGTGGGCCATTGTGAGCCACCTTGTTGGTGCTAAGAACCAGAGGACAGCCCAGAACCAGGGTTCTGATATAACCTTCAAAAACTCATCCTGGGGGCCTGGCTTCTACCAGCTAAGCGCCACCTCCTAAAAGCTCCAGTCTTCAAAATAGCACTACTAGCTAGGAACAGGACAGTCAAAGCGTGAGGCTGTGGGGACATTCCAGATTCAAACTTCACAAATCACCCGTATGTACTATTGATGTGTCATAAAACAAATTCAGCATGGTACTGAAGGGTGTGGCTCTCAGGAAGTTTGTTTCTGGCCCTACCACCTACTGTCTTGAGTTGTCTGCACCAGTTTATCTCTGTAAAATGAGGATAATAAAATTTCTTTTGTATGGTTGTGAGAATTGGACAAGTTCTGTGCAGTATCTAGAATCGTGTTATTCAGTGTTGGGGAACTCTTTGGGGTATTCATTAAGCATGCTTCTGCTTCTCCTTTTCTAACAGCTGGAAGAAAAACTCAAAGAGAAAGTGGATGTAAGTCTAACTGAACGAATTAATCTCACTGGAGAAATGGACACGTTCAGCACGTACGTAACTTCCACACATTTGCTCTAGGTCCCACCTCTCTCCTTCACAAGGTAGTATGTCGTTTAGTCCCCATAGAACCTGAGTTCTCAGGGCCTCCTGTGGACTGCATTTATTTTCCACCAGCCATTAAGAAGCAGTGAACTAGCTACTGCCTCCCCTTCCACCTGCCCAGACTGTACTTCTGCTTTTAATTTAACAGCATAGGCATGGAGCTTTATCATAGAACTATCTAGAATGACAAAGACAAGTAATACCCCCTTGACCATCCCTGCAGGGAAGGTCAGGTTCCAGACCTCCCACCTTTCCCTACGTGTCCCCACCTGCCCAGACCTCCCACCTTTCCCTACCTGTCCCACCTTTCCCTACCTGTCCCACCTTTCCCTACCTGTCCCACCTTTCCCTACCTGTCCTGGGTGCCTGTGAGCATGCATAGTGCCTGTGAGCATGCATGAGTGCCTGTGAGCATGCATGAGTGCCTGTGAGCATGCATAGTGCCTGTGAGCGTGCATGAGTGCCTCTGAGCGAGTATGAGTGCCTGTGAGCGTGCATGAATGCCTGTGAGCATGCATGAGTGCCTGTGAGCATGCATAGTGCCTGTGAGCGTGCATAGTGCCTGTGAGCGTGCATAGTGCCTGTGAGCATGCATAGTGCCTGTGAGCGTGCATGAGTGCCTCTGAGCGAGTATGAGTGCCTGTGAGCGTGCATGAATGCCTGTGAGCATGCATGAGTGCCTGTGAGCATGCATGAGTGCCTGTGAGCATGCATGAGTGCCTGTGAGCATGCATGAGTGCCTGTGAGCGTGCATAGTGCCTGTGAGCGTGCATAGTGCCTGTGAGCGTGCATAGTGC